GAGGAGGAGGAGGCGGCGAAGGAGGAGGAGGCGGAGGAGGAGGCGGAGGCGGAGTGGGCGAGGGGGCGCGGGCAGCCCCAGTGTGAGCGCAGGCCCTGGCCCCGTGCCTGCTGGCTGGCCCCCGCGGCAGCCCTCGGGGCGGCCGCCCTGTGGGGCCCTGCGGCCGGCAGCCCGCGCGCCATGCCGCGCCGAGGGGGAGCATCACGGAGGTCAGCCTTCGAGACGCGGGCTGCGCGCCCTGGCCTTCTTCAGATCTGTGCGCAAGAGTTCGGCGGCGAGCGAAGGGGGGAAGCGAGAAGGAGCAGGCACTCTCAAAGGCGGCGGGGCTCCTCGGAAGCCGTCCGGCCTTCTGAGAGGCTTTCGGCGTATTCAAGGAAGGCTTAGACAACTTCTCAGAAGGCCAGAGGACTTCCGAGCCTTCTGAGAAGGCCCGCCCCTTCTCGCTCCCCCCCCCCCCGGGCTGGCCGCCGAAGAGCGACCCTGGGCAGGAGTGGCCTTTGGTGCGCGGATTCCTGGGGCCGAGGGAAGGCGAAGTCAGAGCGCGCAGGCCAGAGTTGGGGGGCGGGGGACCTGTGGGCCCGCACCACAGGTCACTCCGGCGAAGGGCCACCCTTACGCGTAGTGGTGAGGCTCCGGGTGGCGCGCGGAGGGCCCCCCCAGGTAAGAATAGTCCGAGCTGGCCTCAACAGGCCCCCCGAGAAGTCCCGGCTGGCTTCCACAGGCATCCCGAAAAGCCCGGGGCGGTCTCTCAAAACCCTGGCGCCGCCACCGGCGGCGCGCCTAGGGCGCTCCGCGCCCCGGGGATGAGGTGTTGAGACCGCTCCAGACTACTCGGGAGCCCTGGTGAGGCCAGCTAGGACATTCGGGGGGCCTGTTGAGGCCAGCTCGGACTACCTCAAGGGGGCTGTCTGTGCGGAACCAGTGCGCGCCTGGGCCCTCAGATCTGGGAGCGCGGGAGCCCAGATCTCTGGCGATACGGGCCTCGGATAGAAGATAGCGAAAACTCATGCCACGATCATCTGTCACTGCCCCCATCCAATGATCGAAATTGACGGTGGCTCTGATGAGCTGCACTTCAATCGCAGTCTTCTCCGCGCGTGCAAACTTCAAAATTTTGGGGAGGAGGAATGTCCATTAGTCGTTTCCCCCTACCATATGATTGGAGGGACGCAAAAGTTGGGTAGGGGCCGAGGTGGGGTCAGAGAGGAGCCGCTCTCAGCGGCACCTGGATAAAGGAAGTGTGAGCATCCAAGAGGGTTCGCTCCCTAACCCCACCTTGGCAGATCCCCCCCCCCCCTCCGCGCGCACCCCCGTATGTGTCCCACCCGCGGTGTTTCCTCAGTCTGAGCCTCTGAAGCCCGCTGCTGGGCCCCAGGATCATCAGTGGTGGAGTTGGGGCGGAAAGCCGGCCCCGAGGCAGGAGTCGGGGCGGGGCGGGGGTGCCTTACAACCTGCGGGCTCCAGAAACGGCTTCGGCGGCAAGCGACACCGAGACGGCCCGCGCCCGACCTGCCACCGCTGCCAAGTCCCTCGCGACTGCAATATGTTGAAAACTACCGTCCTTCCAAAACCTCCCGTCGCATGATGCAATCACCCGTGCTTCCAACACCAGCGCTCCGTGCGGAACGACACGCGTGCCGCGAACTCGTTCGTGCTGTGCTGCCTCGGTGAACTTGGTGAAGGAGCGAGGTGGATTGGCATGCAGTCATAGCACATCACAAGGATGCGCGGTAAGGATGCAAGGGCCATGGAAGGCCATGCTGACGTCTTTCGAACGGGGCGCAGCCGCACTCCTCAGGGGCTGGCCAGCGAAAGTTGCCAGGATGGCCGAAGGAGCAAGGATGCAAGGGTGACCTCGGAAAGCTGCTCATCCCTACTATGCGCTTCGACTGTAGCTGTCCTCCTCCGGATTGAATCTGCCACGTCCACCCTTACCGCGACCTGGCGCGTCGCCATGATCCTTGCTGCCTCTGTCCGAGTCTTGCTTCCACTGCGACAACAATCACACGTGACAGGAGCCGCAAACGCGCATCATGCACGCCCGTGACCCTGACTGAACACAACTGGTGACGACGCGTCCACCTGTCGTCCCAGCAAGAAGACAACCGTCGAAATGTGCCACTGCGACATTTGAACGACCATCGAGCGTAGCCGCGCGCTGACCCAATTACGTTGCCGAAGCCGTGAGCCCGCATTTCACGTCACTCGCCGCTTCCACTCTCTCTAACACTGCTTTCCGCGTCTCCATGGCCGTTGAACGAATGTCTGGCTCGTCGCGCGGAATCGACGCCACGCTTTTCCGCCACATGTTCTTATCTGCCTAGAATCACTCTGCTGTTCGCCCATACCTCATGGAAGCACGAAGCCGCAACGACGTCTGGCTCGCGTTGACGAGATCGAGTAAGCCTCACGGGCTCTGAAACAACATAACCGTCATACGCATGGGGCTTGCCAGGCCAAAGCTGAGCCGATGGTGATTCTTAACAGAGAACTAGCGATCATCTCACCTATAATAAGACAAAAGCACCATCATTAGAAATGCTTGGTGCTCGGCGCGGGTTTCTTGGATCTGCGCTGGACCCCCTCCCTGGCGCGCGGAGCGCGCCAGTGGCGGCGCCGGAGGCGCCGCTGGGGGGGGGAGGGGGCCCAGTGCGGATCCAAGGAAACCCGCGCGGAGCGCCAAAAGTTTATGTTCATGGCGTCTTTTCTTCCTCGAGATCCTCGACAGAGAACGAGCGTGTATGGCGTATTTTCTTCCTCGAGGTCCTCGACGGAGAACGAGCGGCCGTCTCATCAGCTGCGCGGGCGAGCGCAGGAGCCCCAGAATGCGAGCGGGGAGTCGCTTTCCGGCCCGCGGCGGTGGCTCTCGCGGCACGCGCCGGCGACCTCGGGGCCAGCAGCCGAGCCTCGCGCCGGGTGGATGCCTCCCACACGGGGCATGCGGTGCCTCTACTCGCCGGCCCGGCCGCGCGGGGCGCGTCGTCGTGCGCCGCGCGGTGGCCCTCCCCCGCTCGTGGCAGCGCAGGCCCAGACGGAGACGAAGCCGGGGCGAGGGCAAACAAATCTGGTGGAGGACGCATCGGGTATTGAAGGGGGCCTTGGGACGCACAAATCTTCTCCCATATTTTCTGGGTTGTTGTCTTCCCCCCCACCACTTCCGATGCTTTCCCATATTTCTGGGGGAATCGACGATTCACTGTGTCTGTGTGCTTCTGTTTCCCTCCTGAGGTATGCCTGAGAGCTGGCGGGTCTGGGGGCCGTCTCCTGTGCCGCGGCCGTCCCTGAGCGCCACGGAGCGAACCAGCCTCGTCCCAGGCATGCCCGACACGCCTCCCGGTCGCAGCGAAGCCGCGGGGCGAAGGTCCGCGCTCGAGGCCCCCGCCCCTCTGTTCCCTCTTCTTGCTCGGCGGCGAGGTGCGCAGCGTCCTCGAGGTCAAAGGTAGAGGGAGAGGAGGGAGCCCGCGCGCGTCGCCCAGGGTCCCAGATGGCGAGGGGGGGCGGCCTCGCACATCCCAGAGACGGCCTCACCCAAGCCACGCGGAGAACCACCGTGCCTCCTCCTTGCCTCCTCCCTGCCTCCACCTCCTCCTCCTCCTTGCCCCCTCCTCTTCCTCCTCCTCCTCCTCCTCCTCCTCCTCCTCCTCCTCCTCCTCCTCCTCCTCCCTCCTCCCGGCTCCCCTTCCTCCACCACCTCCTCCTGCTCCCTCCTCATCTCTTTCCCCATCTTCCCTTCCTCACATGTTCCTCTCCCCCCTCCTCAGGAGAGAAATGAAAAGGTGGAGGGGAAAAACAAAGAACATAAATGGCACGGAAGGGAATCCGCTAAGACCAGAGGGAGGAAAAGGATGACGCCCCTCCTCCTCCTCCTCCTCCTCCTCCTCCTCCTCCTCCTCCTCCTCCTCCTCCTCCTCCTCCTCCTCATGGCAAGAAGGACACAGGTCGGCCATGATGGAAACGAGGATCCTGGACCCCTGGGCGCTCCTGGGGACCAACATTCCGTCTTGCGTCGTCGCTTTTTGATGATCCTGGGACCCGTGGAGGGCCCCAGGAGCCCAAAAATGGCCAAACACCGTCGACGAAAGACCCGTCTCCCTCCCCTGTCTGTCATGGCGATCCTCACTCCCCTGCTCTCCCCTTCCATCCCTCCCCCTGGTCGCCCAGCGGATCGTGTGGACGCGGGGGGGGGGGCGGCAACCCTAGGGGGGAAACATCGATCTGGAGTCGGCGATACATTGCGGGCAGATAGGCGATATGCTTCCGATAGCAAATCCGCACGCTCCTGGGCGGTGCTGGCTATAGGGACCCTACAGGAGATCAGTGGGCGATGAGGGACCGATGCGTCCCCCCCCCCCAACCTATCCCACCTCCGCCCAAAGTTGCCCCCTGGCTTTCGGGTCACAACTCGGCTCCCTTGCAGCCGTTCGGGGTGATCTGGGCACCCCCGGAACGCTCTCTGCGAGGCGCGGAGCCGCTGGAAGGCATCCCGAGGCTGGGAAGCCACAAGGAAACATCGAAAATGCCCAACGGCCTCCAACCTCGATCCCCCCTCACCCCGTTCCTCCCAAAACGCTGCCCCTGGGTGGGGGGAAGGTGGTCGCAGGTCACAGCCGACAGCGGTGTGTGTGTGTGTGTGGGAGCGGCGATGTTCCCGCCGCCCCCGGCGGTGCCCCGCTCCGGTGGATGGTGGATCGGTCCGCTTGGGCCAGACCGACTGGCTCATCGGGGTCTGCTCGGTGAGGCCGAGAGAGAGGGAGGGAGGGAGAAGGGAGGGACAAGCTAGGTGCGCTCGCGTCATATCTGACATCCTACCCCTCCCTCCCATCCCTTACCATGGCGCAGATCCCCTCTCTACTCGCACAGTCGGATGTCGAGCAGGGCAATGATCCCGAAAGGGTACGCGATGCGTTGTGGAGCACGGCATGGCATGGCGTAGAAGAGCACCGCAAAGCGTACTATCAACCGAGCATTGCATTGCATGCCGTGGCATGGCACGGGAAATG